GGGGCCCCCCCCCGCCAGGATGGGGGGGGGGGGTGCACCCACGGGTGCCCACCATCACCCATCCCAAATTTCTCCCCACGGGCAGGAGGAGCAGCACCGCGCTCACGAAGCGTGGATGGAGCGGGTGGCCCAGGAGCTCTTTGAGCATCAGCGCAACCTCCCCGAAAAGCGGGGACGAGCCCGCGACCTGGATGAGTACCGCCTGAAGAAGGAGTATCTCCTCTACGAGGTGGGGCAGAGTCATTCTTAATTCATTTAATTATATGGGACATCCAGGGACGGGGGGAATGTGGTGACATCTCCATGGTGGTGGCAGCTCACCTCCATCCTTCTCTTCCCCATGGCAGAGACACTGCTATGGGACACAGGGGACAGCAGGGACATGGGGATGTCCCTATGGTGGTGGCTCATCTCCATCCTTATCTCCCCATGGCAGAGATGCCACTATAGGGGACACTGGGGACATCTCTGTGTGGTGGCTCATGTCCATCCTTATTTTCCCCCACAGCAGAGATGTCGCTATGGGACATGGGGATGTCCCCATGGTGGTGGCTCATCTCCATCCTTATCTCCCCATGGCCGAGATGCCACTATAGGGAACACTGGGGACACAGAGACATCCCTGTGGTGGTGGCTCATCCCCGTCCTTCTCTTCCCCACGGCAGATGCCACTATTGGGGACACCAGGGGACAGCAGGGACATGGGGATGTCCCCACAGTGGTGGCTCATCTCCATCCTTATCTCCCCATGGCAAAGACGCTGCTGTGGGACACTGGGGACACCAGGGATGTCCCCATGGTGGTGGCTCATCCCCATCCTTCTCTTCCCCCCATGGCAGAGACGTCGCTATGAGACCTACGTGCAGGTGCTGGAGACGTGGATCAGCGCTGGCGCTCAGGACCTGGAGGAGTGGGAAGCCCAAGCGGGGCCGGTGGTGGCCCCCCCAGACCTCCCCACCCTGACCAAAGCCCACTCCAGCCCCTCGCTGGCCCCCGAGCCCCCCATCACCCCCACCATCCGCGTCAAGAGGAACATCTCCGAGCGCCGGACAGTGAGGAAGATCGTCCCCAAACGCAACAAGAACCTGCTGTGATGGACACGGGGGGGGGACATTGGGGGGGGGCACCCCCCCGCCCCGGTACGAGGTTCCTTCGGGCACCACCAG